TTCAGTGTTTACGACCCTGTTGTAGTGCAAAACTACGCAAGCGGTAAAAAACGGCTAATAAACGAACACGCCAAACAGTTGTGTTACTCACGTTTAATTTTGAAAAACTCGAATTTCCCGTGGTTCGAAGTTCGTGTAACCGCTGAATCCATGGAATTTTCCGATTGTGTGCTCGCCTCCAACTCACTCTCCAACCTCGAAGTGTCTGAAAGGGGAACATAAAGGAAATACAAACATGAAACCAAAATAACACATTCGCACTAAATAATACAATTAGCTTGTTCAGAAACGAGGACTAAAGCAATGCACCAAGTGACGGAATATACCAGTGTTACACCTTGTAGGAAAACACGCAGTACAGAGAATTTGGTTAGTTTTCGTAGGAACACTTGATTGTCCATGGCGGTCATTGCATTCAAATCAATCTATGGCGAAGGCCATACGTGTGTTTCTGTCGGTCTAGATTTGAATAAAACAGTTAACACCGGTTCGCTTGACGTACACGTATTCAAACGAGTTTGATTTTTTTCACTGTTAATCGTTTGTTCATCCACTACGATCAAATAGTGTGGCTTGCCCACCTTCCGGCAGGCTACTATGAAGATATAAAACATGCCTCAAAACATATAAATTAGTGGCTTGGATTTGATAATGGTAAGCATCTTCTACTTCCTGTTAGCATGGTCAATTTTCAGAGGGAAGGGTGTGATCAGTCGAAGGTTACTTGAAGACCTGTAGAACGGGAGAAATGGACATTAGTGGCGGGATCCAAACTCCCGATCCCTGGGAGAATAGGGCGGTACCCGTGCTCGCCCTTAACCATAATTATGGATTTAATAGTGCCAATACGAGTAACAATAAGCGTTTTCTGTGAATTACGGAAACGCAAGCACAAGCACATCGGCAGTCCACTTGACAGAATGCGTTGCATTATTTGTTAGTATATATAAATATAAATATATGTATATAATTTTGAGTTTCATATCATTTTTGAGTGCGCGGTGCATTCACTTTATTAATTCATGAAGTTGTTTTCATTGTTTTTACTCCACTTGGTTGTTTCGTCACGGAATGTGTTTATATGTTCATGGTGATGATGAAATGTTGCAAGCCCGTAGAAATTCGGTGCGGGCATTTAGAATATTTCAACAACATTTCAAAGTCATGAAATTTTATGCCGTTGGGAATAAGGTTGACGAAGACACACTAGATCGAATACCGCTCATTGCGGAAAATGATCATTCGACCGTCCTTATTTTAAGAATCGTATGATTCTGTATGATATTGTATGGCTTGAAACGAACCCTTAGTGGCTAATTAAATATAGCCAGCGTTTTGTTGGAGTCATAAGTGTGATCAGTGATAGCACAGGTGAGCCTCATGGTCAATCTACGTGTAAAAACCAGCGACTTTGAAGTTGCGAAACCTGACTAGACCCAAATACTATGGGAGGGGTTGGGGTCCGAGTCACCAGAAAAGCTTTATATTACAGTAACCCTAAAAGATTGAAACATCGGTTGGTCATTGGATTGATCAACCGGGCACCTCCCAGGACGGCTGACTTCGTTCAGTTCACGCCATATGCCATGCTGGACGTGTGTGCTTTTACCATGTACAAATGTGAATCGCACCCAGAATTATCCTACCGGAATACTTTGAAGTGCGCGCTTATCACGTCATAGATATGGATAAGGCGTGTACAGAGGCAATTCATGAAGGCTTTACTTCAAGGAAGACAGCTTTTGCAACCGATCGTTTTTGTTTATATATAATATA